CCCACTCCCTAAGTATAGGCTATGCATAGGTGATTTTATTCCAATCAGTATAGAAAAGGGAGGGAAAGAGTAACTTTACAGTAGAGAAACCTGGCAAACACTACCTCAGCCAGGTGATTAAGGTTAACATCAGTAATGATAAGTCATGTTGACAGTATGTACTCTTGATATATGATGAAAATGATGCTTTCCCTCTGTGGTCTTCCTCCCAAAAACTCATAACTTCAATCTAATCATGAGGAAAACACTGAGTAAATCCCAGTTAAGTGAACCTTCTATAAAATATCTGACCAGTACTCCTCTAAACCGTAAAGTCATCCAGAAACAAGGACAGCTTGAGAAACTGTCACAGCCAAGAGGAGCCTAAAAAGCCATGAGCGCTAAACATTTCATGGTATCCCAGACTGGATCCTGGAATAGTCAAAGGATATTAGGTAAAAAGCAACAAGCAAAACAAAACAACATCTGAATAAAATATGACCTTTAGTTAGTAATAATGGAACAATACGGGTTCACTAGCTATAACAAATGTACCATATTAACATGATGTTCATCACAGAGAAAACTGAGCATGGGGCATATGGGATTCTCTGCACTATCTTTGTGATTTTTCTGTAAATTTCAGACTGTTCTAAAATAAAAAGTTTATTTTAAAAAAAGCCAACAGGTTGACTAAATTGAACAAAAATATATAGACACTACACAAACAGATCTATGGATACACACACACACAGACGAATTGTTTACATGTATTTATATTATTCAAAGATGCATACAACTCCATAAATGCTTAATTTTTTTTATGAGACGTACTGAGCCATCAGTAACTGCTAAAGACTATCTTCCCTGTACACTCAATTGAAAAAGTTGGACCTTGCCCAGCAGCTCATGAAATTGATTTTGAGGTAGCCTGAATCCTAACAAGGAACAAACTGACTATTGTAGCAGTGAGTTCCTGAATTAGGACTAGAGCCACTCCTTCAAGCATAACTCTCTAGAGCAACAGAAATACAAGTCACACAAGCAATTTTAAATTTTCTTGTAGCAGTATTTTTTTCAAGTTAAAAGAAACAAGTGAAATTAGTTTTTATACTGTTTTTAGTTTTAATATTTAACCATGTACCTAAAAAATTAACATTTCACAATGAAGCAACAGCCACATTTCAAATGCTCAATAGCTACATGTAGATATTACAGCTCTAGAGCCAAATATATTTTAAGCAAACCACAGTATTCATGAACAAAAGCCAACTTTTCTGAATTATTTCACTGTAACCACCTTGAAAGGCAAGACAGAATCACAGAAGTGTGTGTATGCCTTCAACCACATGTGGCTAAGTCTAGATGATCTAGACAATCCGCCAGGGCTTGGCATAACTAATCCACTAGACTCAGGCATTGCCTTACAGAAAGGACACCTGCCTTGTCCCACAACACTTTCACTTCTCTCCTCCAATTCCTCCCCTTAGGATCCTCAGTCCAAAGCCCAGTTCCAATTTCATACCCAAAAAGCCCTAATCACTTACCTCCTTTCAAATGTGTTCATCAAGAGAAATCTACCTAATTCTGGTCTAGGCACAGAAAGGAAACAAGAGTTGAAGTGTAAGATTTCAGAGTTCAGTTAATATGAGAAAGTCTGAAGAGCAGGCTCCCAGCTAATCTTACCAGCTGTTGTCTTCAGCAGCAGCAATTTCATTAATGGTTACTACATCACACGTTTTCTCCATGTAAGAACTGTACTAGTGTGTTACATGTTTTATTTCATTGATCTTTACATTATAAGGTTGAAATTATTACTCTCTCTCACTCCCATTCTACAGATGGAGGAGACAGGCCTAGAGAGGCCAAGCAATTGTCCATGACTGCACATCTAGTATGTAGCAGAATTAGGGTTCTAAACAGATCTGATGTCATGTCTGAGTCTGAATCATTTTGCTGTACTTTCTTGGTACAATTCTGAGGTCAGCCATAAAGTGATTCACAAGAGATCATTATCTCTCTGTGAATGGTAAAGAAGGCAACTAATTGCAAAAAGACTTCTTTGTTTAAGATCCTTCAGTAAGCCTACTTCATGTAATGGAATCTTTGCACCAGAGAAAAACAGTCCCCACTTAAGAATTCACCCACGTCACTAGAGGAAAAGGAACATCACCATAAAGTACCAGCTGTATAGTTTCTGCTCATCCATTTTCCTGACTTTCCCACAGAACGGTAATAATTTAAAAACAACTTTCAAATATAGTTCCATAACGGTACCAACTAAGAAAGAACTCGACCATCTCAGTTCAATTACTAAAATTAGTTAAGATTCAAACACTTTAAGAGCAAAGTCTCTTTATTGTTTAAAAAATATCACAGAGTAATCAAATTTCTTTCTTAAAATTTTTAAGTGTTCACTCTTCTGTTCTCTTTGGAAGCAATACTTTTAATACATTGTAACATGCACAGCACAGATAGTTCATTTCAACAGATCTACCTACTCCAATTTAAATAAGTTACTATATTGGAGAATGAACTGCTTGGACTGGAAAGTTTGCTCCAATTTTTATCCTTCTTAACTCAAGGAAATTATACTTCACCTCGTCTGGGTCACTTTTAGCTGAATAGCACACTTGTGAATGATGCCCAGGGAGATAGATAATAATTACTAGTCATCATACTGTTTTTGCCATAGTTATATATATATATAAGTTATATATATAACAAGTCATTATTAAGAGGGCAACCAATGCATTTTTAAGAATTATGATTAGGCCAGGTGCAGTGGCTCACACCTGTAATCCCAGCACTTTGTGAGGCTGAGGTGGGTGGATTGCTTGAGCCCAGAAGTTTGAGACCAGCCACAGTGTAACATGGTAAAACTCCATCCCTACAAAAATAAATCATACAGGCACAGGGGCTTGTGCCTGTAGTCTCAGCTACTTAGGAGGCTGAGGTGGGAGTAGCCTTGAGCCAGGAGACGGAGGTTGCAATGAGCTGAGATTGCACCATTACACTCCAGCCTGTGTGACAGAGGGAGACCCTGTCTCAAAAAGAAAAAAAAAATTATGATTATTCAGTAATACAAGTCAGCAAGCATTTTTCCAGTGCCAGTAATGCAGTCTTCTCTCAATTGCAATGTGGCTCCTTTGTTTGGATCTTACATAATACTATAGCTAAGGAGAGGCACAGTTTTACTTTTAAGGAACTGAATTGAAAAAGTTTTCTTTTATAAGTTAAGAATTGTTACATTAAAATATAAAGGCAAGAAAAACATGGTAACAAGATCTGTTTTCTTGGAAATAGTTTTTACAACTTTGCATCCAAGGATGATTTTGATACTTTGTAAAACAGCTTCCCAATACAAAAGCTAATAACCCAAAGAAATGTTTCTACTGCTAAAACAATTACAATGAAAAATTAGTAAAAGTCTAACTGAAACCACAAGTCCTGATATTCTGAGGCTCTGGGACTCAATTCAAAGGAAGTAGTCTCCAACAATAACAAAAACCAAGATGATCTCCCGCAGTGGAGAAAAGCAGAACTGAAGCGGCGAGGTGATGTATCATGAAGAGATGAGGCCATCAGCCACTTTCGACACAAAAATCTGAGGCAGCAGTGCTTGGTGGTATATACTACCTTGGTTCTCTCCTCTTGTTCCCTTACTTGGACTCATAAACCTCTTTAAGACATCATCCATCTCCTCCAGAACTAACTGGGGACTTCAGGAGATGAGTGGGGTGTAAGTTCAGAGATCCTGGCTTCAAGCAAATATCCCTATTAACAGAAAATAGGTGAGGGGAAGAAAAACAAAGAAATAAGGGAAGAAAATTACTTATAAACACATAAGTTTTGGGGGACGTAGGGAAAGGGAAGAGGAATGACAACTTAGGTGTGGGATAAATTATTGTTAGTACCACGACAAGTGAGCAAGTGAAGTGCCCACCCATCCACAGATCGATGAGCATCCCCTTTTCTACGCTTTATATCCCGGAGCTAGCATAGGGACAAACCTAGCAGCCAGATGAAGGTTCAATTTCCCTAACAAATCGTATAATTTAACTACTCAAATCTGTAGAGAAAGATAATTCCGGAAACATTTTACAAACCAAAGTTACAAAAGATCATGTTTACATTCACCTGCTCATTCACTTATTTTTCTGAGCCCCTAATAAGTAAATGCCAAGGAAATCACAGACGCAGCTCCCACCTTCACATAGTTGACAGTCTAGCATGGAAAATAAGAGGTGCTAAAACACAAAAACAAGAACACGTCCAGATGGGAGATGTGAAATTTTTGAAGTGCGAAAAATTATCTTGTACCAAGTTTTACATAAAACTGGGTTATACACTAAATCCCCGAGAAGGATGAGAAACAAGAAATGAGGTGGGAGGTATGAAAAATACTAATGCTAATGCAGCAACTAGCAACACCATAAGGGTCTTTAAATATGTTGTGTAAATTTAATCTACATGATAACGCCATGAGAGAATTACAATTTTCCCCCATTTTCTAAGAAGGAAAGTTGAAAGAAGTTAATAAGTCTGCTTAAGAGGCACAACTTTTAAGTGACAGAGCGGGGGATTTGCATCCAGGCACCCTGATTCTTACCTCTATTTTGCCGCATATAATTATAACAATATTATTACTAACACAACAACGCCGCTGTCGACTGTAGATCCATAAGCTACGTACTTTCATTCATTTTCTTTGAATACTCACATCTCTATAATTTACAAACGGAAAAATTAAGACTCTTAAGACATTAAGAAACGTTCCCAGGTTATACAAGTTACAAGGGAGTGGAGTCGGGATTCGAACTGCGATTCCGAAGGCTCTTCTCACAACATCCCACCCCCGAACTTGGACTCTTCATTTACGCACAACCAAGCCAAGCGCTATTCCCCCGGGGAACAGCCGGCACCTCCCACTCCAGCCTCCGCCTCACAGAAACACTTGCTCGGGCAGTGTTCCACTGCCCGCACCCTCCCCGCTCTCCCCAGCCGAGCCGGGCTCTCACCAGGCGGGAGTCGTGGGACTCTCGCAATCTTGCCGGTGATCTCTGCAGTGAGCACCGCGAAGTCCTGCTCGTAACCTTCGAAGTCGGACGACATAGCGGCTCCGGAACGAGTGGCCCAGGCCAAGGCCTAGGTCAGGGCAGGAACCTCAAGGGGCAGCGCGGTGGGGGGCCGCGGCTTAGGAACCCCGCGAGGTGCCCCCGAGAGCAGAACGGAGAACCGGGGACAGCTCCCAACCCAGCCGCTTCCTGGTTGTTCGTCGCAGTCTCGGTCCTCCGGAAATTAGGTTGCGTGCGCGCTTTATTTTCCGCTCAGTCTTTAAGAGAAGGAAGTTTGCTAAGGAAAAGCGCCCCAATTAGTGGCCCTCAAAAAAGTCTGTGGAAATAGACGCGTTCTGAGTGGTCACTGGAAGCGTTTTTCCCCCCTTCGTTTTCTGGGAATCGGCTGAGGATCCTCGCGCTATAGGTCATAGGAGTTTGCTTCTGGTGGGAAGTTTGAGGAGCCGAACCTACGGAAGTGGCTGAAACGGAGACTGCGCAGGGGGCCTGAGCGGGAGAGTCGCGGCGAGGGCGCTGGCGGAGGGGCACGCGGGTCGTAGCAGGTCCCGCACTCCAGCCTCTCAAGGCCGGGGTGTGCTGTCTGCTTGTCCTGGACTGAAGTGCCCATGATCGAGTCATCCAAGAAGGAAAAAATCTGTTCCGGGTGAGCCCAGACCGCCCCGGATGTGCGATGGCTGAGGAGCGGACACCAGGGACCACACTGAGGTGGGAATCAAGGCAGGGAATATAAGCACGATTTTGGTGGTCTTCGCCCCACCAGAGTGGGACCAGGCTCTCCTGAATGTTGAGACCAACGTGGCTTACTAGAATATTTCTTCCTTCGGTGAGGATTTATTTCTAAGCCCTCTGCTCCATGACTTGGGCGGGAAACTGAGGCACAAGTCTACAGCGTCTGCCGCGTGATAGTCTGTAATATCCATGTAGCTTGATATAGCCGGCCTAGAGTTAGAACCTGTACAATGCCATTTTTATAAAGAACTAAACTGTCTCCATTCTCCTCACAATGACTGCTAACCTTGGCTTTTGTAAATTGCTAGATCATTTGCGGGATGCAAATTGAGGTAAAGCTGCATACCTTCTCTTATCTGTAAATGCCAGAATTGCTGGCCTTTGTTTACCCAGACGATGTGTAAACGAATGTTAATCTCAGCATCTGTGAACCCCTTAAATAACAATCAGAATGTCAGATAGTCCCCTGGCCCTCGAAATGTCCGGAACCCCCTCACCCTCCTCTCCGCCCAGAAGGTGATTTGAATCCACTGGCCCTCGGAATGTCTGAAGCCCCTCACCCTCGTCTTAGCCTGGGAGGTGATTGACAGCTTTCATTCCCATCTCCACCCCCACTCCCAAGGTGGTTTTGCGGGTATAAAATGGTCTTGTGTCTCTTCTTTCGGGGCCACGGGTTGGAGAGACATGAGTCCTCCGTGGTCGCCGGCAATAAACCCTGCAATTTGGCATACTTTTGTTCTGGTGTTGACTTTCTGTGCTCAGTTCGATATAACAGCTCAGATCCTCTTTCCCGGACTCACTCTAGTCCACTCCTTCCCCAAATCTCCCCCGAGCTCGCCGTCCTGCCTTCCATTTCCCTCGCTCCCAGAGGCACTGCCTCTTCTTTCTTCTCTCTAATCCTCTAATTCAGGTTTTTCCCAAATATTCTTCTGGTCATAATTTTACACACACCACACATGCACCCTCGCTCTCTCTCTTTCCTTCCTTTCCTTGGCTGTTCTCTTTACTTTCACTCTTGCTTCATTACTTTTGGCCCAAATTGTTCTCTTGGTGTTTGTAGGGCGGGGTGGGGGAACTGCAGGCAAATGGCGCAGACCATATCTAACACTTGACTTAATTCAAGAGGCAGCTTAGAACTTCATAAAGTGAGTTTGTTGACTTGGCTTCTATTCTGGTTCAGCCGTTACTTATTTGTGACCTTGGTCTAATCACCTAGCCTTTGTAAGCCAATTTCTATTCTATGAAGAAGGAAACTGAATTAGATCAACTCTAAGGTCCTGATTCTCAGTTCTAAAATTCTTTGTCTTAAACTATTCACTAAGCATTGGATGGTGACAGTACCCTGATAAACTGAGAAGGAATAAAAATATTTTGGAATTATGTATCCAGGTTACATGCCATTCAAACTTGTATCATATTTTGGATAAGTCAAAAGCAATTCTTTTTGACATTTGACAAGATATACATCCTACTTGTGAGATGCTGTTGTGTAGGTGTTTATTGTCGTTAACAAGTATGGTATGTAATAAAGATTTTTTTAACTGAACTTTCCCATTTTGCTTTCTTTAGGTTGGGTTTCAGACCAAGATACTGGATTCTCCTAGTTAGATGAAGAGCTTTGGGTGCCTGACAGTGAAAATGGCATAATCTGCGTTAACAGTTCACAGCTTGAAGGCATGACAGTTAAAGAACACACATGGACTTGTGGCACATGGAAATGTGTGCACAGAAAAAGGAAATCTATAATTCTTTAAAAGTAGGAAGGCATTCTTCCTTGCCAAAATGGGTACATTCTGTTCAGTTATCAAGTTTGAAAATCTCCAAGAATTAAAGAGACTGTGTCACTGGGGTCCCATCATAGCCCTTGGTGTTATAGCAATATGTTCTACAATGGCCATGATTGACTCTGTGTTGTGGTATTGGCCCTTACATACAACTGGAGGAAGTGTGAATTTCATCATGTTGATAAATTGGACTGTCATGATTCTTTATAATTACTTCAATGCCATGTTTGTCGGTCCAGGCTTTGTCCCTCTGGGGTGGAAACCGGTAAGACAGTGAACTTTAATGATAATCATATATTTGGTTTTTGCCTTATCTGCTAACCAGTAGCACTAAACACAGCCTGCTGTTTGTTCTGGTGGAGACGAAGTATATTACTCTAATCACTGATCAGAGATTTTATTTCATGTCTGTTTGAAGATATTGATCCCAAAAAAGCATTTTCCAAATATTCAATTGTATTGAGTATTTGCTCTGCATTAAAAAAAGTTGGAAGTGGGGTGGGCTCATGGTGAAAAGTTAAGGAAACATCGTATGTCATGCACAATGAGGTTTGGGTATAGAATCTGTTTTCATGTAATACATTAACATCCCTTAGAACTGAGAACAGCACTTTAGAAACTGCTGGTTTAAATCATAAAGCTTTTAAATCATTGCACTGAAAATAGAACATTGGGAATATAGTCAAAATCCATTTATAGCTTAAAAACTACTAGAAAGTTTATGCTTATGATGTCCATGTTTCCTACTAAGGGACATCACCTGATGGCTTGTCAGAAAGGCAGAATCTTGGGCTCCACTTCAGATCTACCAAATCAGAATCTTTATTTTAATAAAGTCCCCAGATGATTCTTAGGTATATTAAAGTTTGGGAAACACAGGTGTATATGGTGTGCTGTGTATTACTCGAAATGAGTACAGGAAGGGTAAGACACAATTTGCATTCTGAAAAAGCTTATAACCAAAGCAAGAAACCAACACACTTGTGCAAATTGTGAACATGTTGGGCACTGTTAAAGATAGAAGAATTGAGCATTTTCAGCCGGGGACCTGAGGGAGGAGTGAGAATTTCGAAAGGAGATGGGGAAGAGGGCATTTCAGGTTGAGAGAATGGTGGGAGCATATATTCAGAAACAATGCACAGCCCTGTGTGACTTGGAAAAAGATGATGTAGTACAGAGACAGCCAAAATAAAGGCAGATCATGGAAGATCTCAAATATATGAAAAATTGTAGGCCATAGGGAGTTTTAGAGGTTTTCAGCCAGAGTCTGACATAGTCAGAGTTGTGATATAGGAATATTATTTTGACAATATACGGTTTGTGCTAAAGAAAAACCACAGTAAAAGAAACGGGTTAGGAAGTGATTAAAATGGCTGAAGAAAGAGGAGGTAACAGGTAATGTCAAGAAGGGAGCAGATTTCAGAAAGAATATCAACTCATGCTTAACTCCTCACTCTGAAATACCTGCCAAGTTGTCAGCTACCTTTTTCTGAACTCCTCTCAATCTACCAAGATTAGGGGTAGGCAGAACCACTAGTGACATTGAATTTGGTAGAGCATAGGGAAGAAAAATTTTAAATGTCTTCTGGGTAATTGGGAAAGTGATGATGTTCTCATCAGAAAATTGTTATTTAAAAATATTTTAGCTCAAATAGGAGAACTGGGAATTGAAGTTGAGATTCCCTCCTTCCCTATCTCCCGTAAAAGAAAATCATACTGTAGGAATCATACTTGGGTTCAGGTATCTGATATATTTTTGTTTCTGTTTTGCTCCCAAGGAAATTTCTCAGGATACCATGTATCTCCAGTATTGTAAAGTCTGCCAAGCATACAAGGCACCACGTTCACATCACTGCAGAAAGTGTAACAGGTACCTGTCTTTCTTGCTGTTCACTAGGGACTGAGCAACTAATTACTGATGTTTTCATTGTTCTTTCTATGTTAGTGCTATTTCTATTCACTGCAAGGTTGCCATATTATAAAAAATATTGTCAAAATAGTTGTGTCCATAATCTCCATTTTATCCTTAAATTATCCAGATAATAAGTAGATGTATAAGAATAAGGTAAAGAGTTACACCTGAAGTTTGTTTCCATATATCAAGATTAATTGTGTTTGTCAGCTGCCATCTGGACTGACTTTAGAATTGTTCTGAGTCTAAATTATAAGTGAGATCTGCTTTTCCCATCACTTATTAACAAACATTTACACTTTATACAAATCTCATAATCCAGGTGCCTGTTATCACAAATGTTTTAAAATCAGAATCTTAATCAGAAGAAAACCAAATAACTATTAAAAATGTGAAATAACCTAGGATCTTTTTTAATGAACAGCTATAATCGCTGATTAGTAAGAAATTTACAGAACCATTGAGAGCGACTGAAGTGTTGTTTGAGGCCAGAACATTTTCTTCTAGCAACCGTAAGGAACAGATGCACGCAAGACATTGCTTGTTATACCGTGTCTCAAATTCTGGAGTTAGCTTGTTTATCTCAGAGATCCATAACTAAAGGATACTGTGAAAACAGGAGGGAAGTTACATATGTCTGTTTGAACCCATTAACCCCAATGGAGGTTTATAAGGGATTCATTGAGTCTGTTGTAGTTCACTTGGGTCACTGCACTTACAAGCTAGGTGAAAACCAGAAACCATGTTCATTGCTTTGTAATGAGCATTATAAAGAGACCATCTTTGAGTGGGTCTCCTGACTTCCTTAAACAAATACTTGTAGCTAACATCTTTTCCTAAGGAGCTTTACAAAGCCTGCCCTTTCCTGTGCTGTTTAGAATTGAAAAGGAGTCACTGTTCATAATTGTTAAAAGCTCATAAAGGCCAGGCGCAGTGGCTCATGCCTGCAATCCCAGCCCTTTGGGAGGGTAGATCGGGGGGATCACCTGAGGTTAGAAGTTCAAGACCACCCTGGCCAACATGGTGAAACTCCATCTCTACAAAAATACAAAAAGTAGCTGGGCATGACGGCGGGTGCCTGTAATCCCAGCTACTCTGTAGGATGATGGAGGAGGATTTCTTGATCCCAGGAGGCAGAGGTTGCAGTGAACCAAGATCATGCCATTGCACTCTAGCCTGGGTGACTGACCAAGACTCTGTCTCAAAAAAATAAAAATAATTTTTAAAAAGCTCATAAGGATTTTTCTTTCTGTTCCATGAGGTATAGTTCTTCCGTAGCTCATGGACATGCTGGATTCCTATTTGTTTGACCTTTTGAAGACCAGAGTTATTTAAAGTAGACAGGATTTCCTGCCTCATGTTTTATGTAAATTTTTCTTGTTAGATGTGTGATGAAGATGGACCATCACTGTCCTTGGATCAACAACTGTTGTGGTTACCAAAATCATGCTTCGTTCACACTGTTTCTCCTTTTAGCACCACTGGGTTGTATCCACGCTGCTTTCATTTTTGTGATGACTATGTACACACAGCTTTATAATCGGGTAAGTGAAAATGAAAATGTTTTGTTGCAAAATCATCCATGCCAGTTTAAATGGTAGTTATCTAGATTATTTAAGAGGTCCCTTTTGGAAATATGCTTTCTGTGATTTAGTTGAGGAAACAGAACTTTGTTTTACTGCTGTATTGGTTCCTTTTTAGAAAGCATTAAAACTTACATTTTAAGATGAGGAAAGATTATTTGTTCTAGAAACTTAACATGCTCTAGTTGAAGCTGATTATTATTTTACTACTGTATATATAATTTGTTAGACTTCATACTTAATAGTAATGGAAAGAATAGTGAGAAGAAAAAAAGAAAGACACTAGTGCTTCCTGCTTCCATCCTGTTCATGTGGCAAGTTGTAGTTCTTTGTTCACTTCTGATTCTAGTGCCTGGAAGGTGGCTCATGGAGCAGAGCACACCGTAAAATATAAACAGATTAAACCAGCAACAGATCAGGTTGATTTATGGACAAGTAGTCATGAGATCAAATTCAGAGGACACAAAGAAAACTCCCTAAAGAGGCCTTGAAAGTAAACGAGGGACAGACACCTGATGGGACTGCCAAACTGGAGAGTCTGTCCTTTGAGGAGGTGACGGCCCATATTTGATCTGCCAGCTTGTGGTGTTTGGGAATTCCAGCCCACAAAAATCTGAAAATCTGGATTTTTCTGTGAGATCTCTCAATTTTTAAATGCCGGCACCTAACTCTGAATGTCTGAAACATGATGCAGGTCAGGCAGCACACATCTGTGGCCATATTTGGCCTGCATTTTATCAGTTCTTCACCACTGTCTGTAAAACATGAAGGAAGAAACAACTGAATTCTGGGTAGTACCTGTTGCTGTGGACAAATGCTGCAGTGTACAATAGCAAGGAGAAGAGAGAAGACACAGTTCTGGTTTAGGTTAGTGTCTAGTGTTGTTGATGCGTGTTAATATTTGCAGGGTATTCTTGACACTTTGTGAGGAAACAACAACAAAAAGTCACATTTGAGAAAACTAAGAATGATATCGTGCACATCAGTCTGAGCTCAAATTACAGCATTAATTAAAAATTGCTGTGTTTGCTTTGGCCAAAGGGTCATGTTGTCGACTCTTTGATCAAGTTGTTCTAAATATCACAGTAGAGTCTGACCAGGTACCACAACCAAATATTTTGTGTGTGTGCTATTGTTGCTGTGATAGCTCTCCTTTGGATGGAACACAGTGAAGATTGACATGAGTGCAGCCCGGAGAGATCCTCTTCCAATTGTTCCATTTGGATTAGCTGCATTTGCTGCCACCTTGTTTGCCTTGGGATTAGCTTTAGGAACAACCATAGCTGTCGGGATGTTGTTTGTTATCCAGGTAAGCATCTCTGTTCCCTCTAGTGAAAAGCGTCAAGTTACTGGGACTGATTGAAAAAGAAAGAGATACAGGCTGTGTTCGAGTGTGCAGTATGACATGGAAATTACTTTTGCTTATTTCATTTAAGTAACTAATCTCCTCTGTAGTAGTCAGATAATTTCGAAGTAATTTTTGCCAGAATTTCTAGGTATTGATTTAGTTTTTAAAATGTTAACTTGGAGTTGGGTAAGTTCTGAAGCTCTTCAGAATTGAGAGTTCTTCTCACCTGTACAGTCTATTTTGCTGTTCACATCCACCCCAGTAGAGGAGTCTTACTGTTTTCCCTTCCCTACAGATGATTAATTAATTGATTCTCAAAAACTTTAAGTGACTTACCCAATGTCACCCATTTCACGTACTTGGTAAACATCGATGTTACTTTGTAATAGTATATATTTAATAATAGTAGTAATCATAGTATAGCTAACATTTATTGAGCACTTCTTATGTGTAAGGCACTGTTTTAGGCACCTTACATGTATTAGCTCATTTAATCTCCATAACAGCCCTATGATAAAGATGCTATTTAATGCCTACTCTGATGAATCACTGCTAATTTCTGAGGCTGCAAAAATGATAATGAAGAGGTAGCTGCCCTTAGGAACTGACAGTTAATAGTAAACAGTTAACTAATACAAGGCCATGTGTATATACATCATAGATTTATGTGCACAGTGCTATGAGAACAGAGAGGAGGAGACCTGGCCCTGAAGGAAGCATAAACCATTCTTATAACTTATTGCATTCACGTAATTCATTCATTCATTCATTGAAGGCCAACTGTGGGCCAGGTATTGTGCTAGGCCCTTGGAATATGATGAGGACTCCTGGGCCAAGGCTATTTCTTTTTCTTTTGTTTTGAGACAGAGCCTGGCTCTGTTGGCCCAGGCTGGAGTGGAGTGGCACGATCTTAGCTCATTACAGCCTCCACCAAAGCTGTTTCTAACATGCTACACTGTCTCTGTGAAGGCACAACCAGACTTTAAGGTAATTTGGTTTTGTTTTAAGGTAAGCTGGTTTTGTTTATATGTTATTATTGTCTACTAGCCTGGAACCAAATTCTTTGAAAAGTTTTTCCCAATGCCTCTAATTTAAAATCATATTAGAGATAAACTAAGATCCTGTAATATAAAAGCCTGTATATGTGGAATTCGTCATATCTAGGAAAATCAAATAATGGAATAAAGATTGAATACATTCATTATTTTTAAGGCAAGTGAAATATTAAGGTCGACTGAAATGAGTCACTGTTACTTCTCATAGATTAATCATAAATTTAAAGTTAGTTTAAAATAGTGATAAAAGATTTTAATAGCAAATTACAACTAAGCACTGATTAAATGGATTATATTAATATTTTGTTAATGCTGTCAAAACCTTGCTCTGAAAATAGTATTCAAGACATGAAATTTGATTAAAATACTAGATTCAGATTTGATTATGGATGGGTGTAATCATTGTTACGAGAGGTACCAGGGTGGAGTAGTTAAGAACAGACTTTGGAGTCAGAGGGATGACATGGTAATTATGTTATTTAACCTCTGTTATCCTTGGTATCTTTGTCTATGGAATGGAGTAATAATAGCTATCTCAGAGGATTATGAATATGATAATCTTAAAGGAACCTAGGTCACATTATTAAATTTTACTATCATTTAATTTCCAGATGAAAATAATTCTCAGAAACAAAACTTCTATTGAATCATGGATTGAAGAGAAGGTAAATTTTAATAATTGTTTCTTTATTATTAATAATGCATATTAATAAAGGACTAGTAAAGTCCTCAATAAAGTCATTTGCATGCCACAAAAAAAAAGGTGAATACAGGAGACATTTTTATTCATTCTGTAACTCCGGCAGAAATGTGCCTTTCATACACCCTGAGTGGTTGCAGAGGCCTAAGCCGCACATCAAACCATCTGTCCGTTGCCTCTTAGACTAGAGGAGAAAGCAGCCCATTAAGAAAGGAGTTTCCACCCTACCAAGCTGCCACCAAGTTTTTCTCAGTGTTTTAGACAGTCAGTAAAGCTCCTAATGTTTAGCTTGTCGCAGACCTCACAGCCTCATGCTGTCCATTGTGTTTCTAGCGTGAAACACAAATCTGACTCCCCTGCTCCCTGTTTAAAACTTCTCAAAGCCTCACCATTTCTGTGGCAGGGGTTGAAACCCAGATTCCTGCAGGGTCCGGGCAGATAATGCCAATGAAGGGGAGCGAGCTTGTATACAAAGAGTTGCCTGGCAGAGCAAGTGGATCGTTGCCACAGGGGAATGTTCACATTTTCCAAATTACAAAATAAGGAGAAGAATAGCATTGTTTTATATCTTTACAAATCTCTTTAATATCTGACTTAACAGAAGACAGTTGGATTCTCACTTCTGCATTCAGTCTGTTGAGATATGTTGCTTTGATTAATGTATATGAAGATCCAGCCTCACACAGATAAGTAGATGGAAAAGAACAGAGTATTTTAATAGGCCTTTACATGATAATAGTGGATGTTCTTCCATGTTACATTAAAAACTTGACAAGTGCTATTTCTTACTAAAGATTTTTATACCTTTTTATTTTAAACTCATCAGTCTATCTTGCTCTTTGGATGAGTCTTTTACCAATATGTGGTTTTATGTAACATCAGGCATTGGTCATTTGGGAAATACTAGTTTCCTGGGTTATGTAGATTTTCCAAACGTTAACACCTTTTATTATACAGTATCCCAAAATTGCATTCACTTAGAGCAATATATCAGTTTTATGAGAAAAGATTCTTAAGTATTAGGAAGCTGTCAGGCTCACAGTGGTAGATACACAAGGTTTTTAAATTCTAATATTCATTTGAAAGCCTTATTTTTTTACTGGCAACCCATACTGTCAGCCATTTCCCTTGAAGTGACTGCCTGACTATTCATTTTTGAGGAAATGTTCACCAAGTACCGAAGTCCGAATAACCTTAGTTTGCTACATTACTCATTCTTTCAAGTAAAAATAGTGTTACATGGATAAAGCTGGCTGTACAGCTTTTGTTAGCTTACAGCTTAACCACTATTTTACTTGAGAGGATCATTCCATTTGGGCATGCTTTATGTATCTCATTTTGTCACGCAGAATATTAAAAATAAAGGACATCTCCTTGAGAGTTGAGATTTAATATTTAAAAATAATTTTTACTGCTTCATCAAGGACATTCTTACATGACATTGCTCATAACTACTAACACAGTTTGGTGCAACTGCCTTGGTTTCTGCTAAGATGCCAACAGTTTTATTCACCATTGCAAATGTCAACACAACAAAAAGACAAATAACATTTCAGTATTATTAGGAAAATAGCTTGGCCTTGCTGACCTGCAAGAAGTGTTGAAAACTCAAAGTAGTCTACAAGGCATGCTTTGAGAACCACTGATATATAGGTTTGAGTCTGATTTCTTAGCTTCTACATAGACTTTTTATGACTTCTTTTTTTGTTTTTGGAGACAGAGTCTTGCTGTGTTGCCCAGGCTGTAATGCAGTGGCACGATCTTGGCTCACTGCAATCTCCGCCTCCTGGGTTCAAGTGATTCTCCTGCCTCAGCCTCCCAAGTAGCTGGAATGACAAGGTGTGTGCCACTACACCCAGCTAAGTTTTGTATTTTTAGTAGAGAAAGGATTTCACCATGTAGCCAGGCTGGTCTCAGACTCCTGACCTCAAGTAATCCACCCGCCTCAGGCTCCCAAAGTGCTGAGATTACAGACATGAGCCATTGCACTCGGCTAACTTCTTAACTACTTCTCCAGCCTCATTTCCTACCCTTCTCTACCATGTCTCACACTTGATACTAAATTACTCATAGTTTGTACATCTTAGCTTCTGTATCCTTTCATGTGTTGTTCCCTCTGCCTATAACACTCTTCCCTCTCTTTTCCCCTGATTTCTTGCTTCTCAAGACTTAGTTAAGGTATTGTTTCTCCCAAGGAGCCTTCCTGGACCCTCCCTAGACTTGGCTAAGTACCTTTTGTTTCCTTTGTTCCCTTTTCCCATAGCATCTACCACACCCCTTTGTCACCTTCTAACACACAGTATTGATAGAATCCTAACTTCATTGAGTGCTTCTGTTAGGTAAAGACATGTCTCAGTCATTTTGTAAATGACTCATGTTTACCAGTTTTTCTTTGTAAATTTTTAGCCTAGATATCTGTTCTTTGAAATTCAGTCCATTTCAAAGACTCTGAAGCTTTGTTTATAAAAAGGAAAAAGAAATTATTCTTTACTTTCTGTGTGAGGATAGATTGATATAATTTAATAGGTTCATATGCATTATAGCTTAATATTTTGGTAAATAGTTAACTTTAATATCACTTTACAAATAATTATAATAAGCTTTTCCATAAACATTGTCTCTGATAATAAAATATTTCAAAGTATCATTTCTAATAAGCATAATAAATACATTAACATTAGATTAACTTTTTTTTTTTATTTTTGCTAATAAACAAGGCTTCTTGTAAATTGCCATGCTACATTTAGAAATTACTTCAGATGAAATTGGGTATGCTTAATGATATGGCCATAGACTAGAAATTATTTCAGAACAAATACTTCATTGCTGAGTAAAAAATTCAAATAAATGATCATATTAAATTTATAGGAAATTTATAGAAATTACCAGACACTATAAATTTATACAACAAATTTTACGGGGTTTGTACACTTATTGTTAAAATAAATAATGTATCATTACCACTAGGTGTCAGTGGAACTTAAGAAATCCAAAGCCAGTTTATTTCCTTAAATTAAAGCTAACAATTTAAATGCCTGGAATATAATTTATGCAAGCTGAATAGTTATGTACATGCATAACATGTACATATAAATGCATATATAAATGAGTATGTATACATGTGTGATAGTATAAAAAAAGAAAGAAGATCTCTTGTATATGTCTGCTAACCTTTAAAAAATGTTTTTCATAAAACAACTCTCCTATAACACCCTTCCTGGCCATTCCCACGGGCATCACTGCACCCAAGATACAACTGTTACATTCTGATACAACTGTTACATTCTCGTAACACCCCACAGAACAGTTCTATCTTGAATAAAAGAGTTCCATCCTGAATAAACCCTTATCTTTCTCATGAATCTGTTTATCAGCATCCTTTCTATATACCTGAATTGTTTTGTTTTGCTGAACAACCAGGAGCATTGAGGACTTTTTATATATGAGATAAAGTTAGCTAATTCTTTTAGTAAATCTTTATGAGTGCTATTCCTAAAGAAACCCTGTCAGATATTTTCTAGGTAATCATGGACAAGGTCGGTGTTCTATATCAAGTTCTTCCTCTATTGTGATAAAGTTGCCTATTGCTTTGTGTATGCCGATGTTACAGTGAGGAGGAAGTATTTTTTTGAATGCTAGAAACTTGAGAAATAAGTGTTCTCAATAATATATTACTGAAGGCCACTTAGACAGAGGCACCTGCTGTCTTACGTCTTTGTTACCCACAGGCTAAAGATCGAATTCAATATTATCAACTAGATGAAGTCTTTGTTTTTCCTTATGATATGGGAAGTAGATGGCGGAACTTTAAACAGGTATTTACGTGGTCAGGGATCCCTGAAGGAGATGGACTTGAGTGGCCAGTAAGAGAAGGCTGTCACCAATACAGCTTAACAGTGAGTATATTTTTTCAAGTAGCCCTTCCTTTTTGCCTCACCTTCTTTCCCTTAACTCCCCTTCAACTCAAGGGACATAATTGTAATCAAATAAGTCATACGAGTGTTTTCACTCTGTCAGAATGAATCTAATAATCCTAAAGGACTTCTTGTATCATGTTTCTTCCTTTATTTACATCTCTCCTTAACCCTCTATACCTGTGAGATTAAGTCCTCATCCCTTAACGTAGTTATATGAAATCTGGCCAAAAATGACCTTCCAACTGACAGTATCATATGAATTCCTTGTGCATTCCTGTCACCCAACTTTGCCCACAATTTTTTCCATCTTCTGTGACCTCCACTTTATCTAAAATGATTAGGACTAGTTCCAGTCTACCTGTTCCATAAAGTCTAACCTACCCCCGTAGACTTATCTGAATTCAGCATTTAAACATATACTACTATAGGGTAGCTCATGAAGTTGCATATTTTTATTTAATTATTTATATCTGTAATTAACAAGACTCCAGGACAGAGACCATGAATTATCTTTATTTCTCCTACTATATCTAATATAGTTCTATTTAATAGTAACTATGTCAAAAAGAAGTTAGTTATAATGATGACTTTTATTCATTCATTCAGCTTCATTATTAAATGTGCTTCGTTATTCATTTGTAGTTTGTCTGCTATGTCCCTGCAGAATCAATGAATCTCAGTGTTTTCACCTGAGAAGCTTCATGAGGTCAGAGAATATACTCTCTGATCCCTGGGCCACAGTCGGCACTCCAGGAATATACACAGATGAAGACATCAGAGTGAACAGCAGGAAGAAAACCTCACTCTCAGCCCCTGGTTCTTATTCATAAGGCCTTATTTCCATGCTAAAACAACCCGTGGCCTTTAAATTACCAGCAACTTGAAATGCTGGAAAGTTGGGGGTTTGCCATACCACTCTGACAGTTGATGAGGAAAGGCTGTTTTTCAACATTAAGACAAGAGACTTCATTTTTTCTTTTTATTTCTTTCAAACAGATAGAACAGTTGAAACAAAAAGCAGATAAGAGAGTCAGAAGTGTAAGTACTTCTTTTGCAATGATAATTTTTTTTCTTTTGTTAGCCTGTGTACTTCCATATAGTTTTTTAATTGACTTAGACTAGAAACCAATTGTTGGCTTTTATTAAATTGTATTCCTTAATACATTTGTTAAAATTTGATGCAGTTACCTTTTTTTTTTTAAATTTAAGTAGTTGAGACTAGAGGTTGGAAGGAATTCAGTCAATTTATATTGCAACATAGGAAAATAATTATCCTCAATATTGCTCCTTAATGTGAAACCTGTCTTTACAACTATGTTTGTTGGATATGATGGCCACCAGCCACATGTGGCTGTTTTATTTAAATTTGTTAAAATTAAATAAATTTAAAGATTCAGTTTCTTGTTTGCATTAACCACATTGTAAGTGCTCAGTAGCCACGTGTGTCAGGTGCTACTGCATTGGATACCAAAGATACAGAACATTTTCATCATGGCAGAATGTGTTTAGACAGCCCTACTCTAAATTTAATTCTTAGTTATGGTCTTGAAATGAGGAGTAAGAAAGGCCTTGAGAACTAGAAACATCAGTTGCTTCCCAGGGACCTGGGTGGATGGGGAACGGGGAGGTTCCCCTAGAATGGGAACTAGACAGCTACTCAGGAGGCTGAGGCAGGAGAATTGCCTGAACCCAGGAGGCAGAGGTTGCGGTGAGCCAAGATCACGCCATTGCACTCCAGCCTGGGTGAAAAGAGCGAAACTCCGTCTCAAAAAAAAAAAAAGGAATGGGAACTAGAAGGCTTGTCACTGGATATTTCGGATCTCCCTTTAAAAATTGAAGTTCAGACTTAAAAGTCAGATATCATGAGTGAATATTTAATGGTTTCTTCTGATCACTGATGACAGGTTCGTTATAAAGTAATAGAAGATTATAGTGGTGCCTGCTGCCCTTTGAATAAAGGAATCAAAACCTTCTTCACAAGCCCCTGCACTGAAGAGCCTCGAATACGGCTACAAAAAGGGGAATTCGTTTTAGCCACAAGAGGTTTACGGTAAGCAATAGGAAGAACTGTATTTGACAAGATTAATATCTAGCCTAAAAAATTAATTTTAATCTTTTAAATATTTCAGATACTGGCTGTATGGAGACAAAATTCTTGATGATTCTTTTATAGAAGGTATGGAAATGGAAGGGCGTGTTTAAAGGACAAGACTATTAGTAATAATTGCAGATTTTACAAGAATAACATATAAAATAATCACATGCCTAATGCATTAGGGGAACTGCATAGAAGGGCACATCACTAAGCAACAAAAAGAAGTTCCTTATGTATTTCTCTAGAACTCTTGTGTTTTTCAGGCCTTTTTAATGATAGCTAACATTTGAGCTCATACTTAACTATGGACAAGTATTTGTATAAGTGCTTCACTTAAGGTGTAAAAGTCCCCAAAAGACCTCGGAGGTGCACGCTAGCATTTACGTTTAATTAAGGGAACTGAAACACAGAGAGGCTAAGCAATTTGCCATAGCCGTGCACTAAAAACAGATACAGCTAGGGCTGAACCCCAAGCAGTAGGACTCTACATTCTGTGCACCAAACCCCTGTGCTATTTTCCCCCCAGCTTTGAATGAGCATTTCTCTTAAGTTATTATAAAAACCAGTAGATTAAAACTTTGTGTTTTAAGTTTTAGAATTGTTCCTTTTTAAAGTAAAGATTAGCTTGGGATGTTCTTTAAAAAAAATTGGGGGTTAATCATAAATTAACCCCTTATGACAGCCTTGATATAGAACTGTATATGTTAGGCCAGGCATGGTGACTCACGCCTGTAATCCCAGAACTTTGGGAGATCAAGGTGGATGGATCACTTGAGATCAGGAGTTCAAGACCAGCCTGGCCAACATAGTAAAACGCTGTCTCTACTAAAAATACAAAAATTAGCTGGGCATAGTGGTGTGCTCCTGTAATCCCAGGTGCCCCAGTGGCTGAGACAGGAGAATCGTTTGAAGCTGGGAGGCGGAAATTGCAGTGAGCTGAGATCATGCCACTGCACTCCAGCCTAGGTGACCCAGCGAGATTCTATCTCAGGAAAAAAAAAAAAGAATTTGTATGTTAGGAAAAGTCTAAAAAGGAAATTCACAAAGGCTACAAGGAGGTAGTTCCCTGGAAAAGACAGAGTATAATGGTGTGCCCAGAATACCTTTGCTGATCATATAAGTAAACACCCATACTAAGTTCCCCCCAACTTTAGTTAGGAGCTGTCTTTAACCACATTAGTCCCTATTCTGGATCATAGAATTTGGGAAATATCTGTTCCTAGCTTGTTAGGAACCTTATTTTTTTTTCCCCCTTCAAAATGTGCTTATAATAGCGAAGGGGAAAATATAAGTCTAAAAGCTTATTAATTTGAATCAATAGGACTTACTGCTTTCAGTAATGTCACTGTCATCTGACTATTTCACCTCAATTTTGTTTTCTCCCTCAGGTGTTTCAAGAATAAGGGGATGGTTTCCTAGAAAATGTGTGGAAAAGTGTCCCTGTGACACTGAAACAGATCAAGCTCCAGAGGGCGAGAAGAAAAATAGATAGCTACTGTTAAAATGAAATTATCCTTTAAGTCTGCTTAATTACTTGAAAATTGTACATATTACTAAAGAATTATGCAATGAGCCTACTCTGGTTAAGACGTTCTTTTCCTCAAAGGTGCCCTAGTGCCATGATTTAAATATTTTTATTACCGTTTTGAAATGGAGAAGCCATTCTGCATATGCCTTTGAATTCTTGCCCCTCTTTACCACCTCTTCTTCCCCCTCAAAAGAAGAACATTTCACCTGAGTAAGTGAATGGCATTTTCTCTAGGATTTTCTTATGCACTGCACACTCTGGACCTCACCTGCAGATACAGTTTCCCCCTTGCCAGGAGCATCTGCATGTGGTACTTTTCCCTCAGTTGGTATTTCTGATATGATATTCTAGATACTATAGAATTCAATTTGTCAGATTCAGTATAAGCTCAAATTTTGTTACCTGTCTTTTAATAATGCAAATTTTGTCAAATCAAATAAAGATCAATGGATGTTCTGTATAAATCAGTTTTTACTTAAAGCATTTTTCATTTTGTTGACTGAAAAGATCATCTTCGTTCCTTATGGAAAAACTGCTCTGCTGCCCTGTGGAAAATTGGCATCTTAAAACATGTCTTAAGAGATGACACACTTGCTTCAATATATTCACTGTGTTAATGGGATATTGAGCTCATAGTGATGGCAGTGGATGGCAGTGGTGGCCTGAGGGGAGTTGGGGGGGAGCCAAGAATAGGCAGGGAGCTGGGCGTGGCTACAGCTGCCCAGCTGTGGCTGTAGACCCGGGCATCCCTGCACTCAAGGGGGCCCAGGGAAACCCCCAAACCCCCATACACTGCCTGGCCTCTCTCAGCTCCTGGCACCCATTCTGGACAAAGGTGAGGCCAAGCCTGGCGCTGTTGGGACCTGTCTGGGTATGCATGAGCTCTGACACACCAGCACCCTGCCACCTAGGCCCCCTCTAGACTTTGATCTGCCAGCCACAGAGCATTCCAGCTGGTGAAGTGACACCCCAAGGATCACTTGACAATAAACAGTGATATCAAACTACTCATGTACACTTGAGTAAAAAAAACAAAGCTTGTATGAGTGGTAGGGTCCAAGCTGGTGGGCTTGGATGCTTAAAGTTGGGCTTGTCTGAGCATAGGAGTAAAATACCAGAAGGAAAAGGAAAGTGTATTTCTCTAGACTTCAGAAAACTTTCAAAGGCAGGGAGTGTGAAGCTTTGGGGGCCAGGCTTGTAATAGTTAAGAATGAGGGAAGAGTCCTTGGGAATTCAGCAATGAACACACATGAAAATATATGTTACATGGAGTCATGTTATTGTGAAGCAAGAAGGTAGGACAGTCCTGAGTCGGCATTTGAAGCAGATGAAGGGACAAGTCATGTACTTTGGGAAATCAGTGTTTTAGAGAGAGCAGCAAGAACAAAAACAGGCTGGATTGTACCTGGCATGTTTGATAAACAGGAAGGAAACCGGTGAGGTTCAGCTGGAAGGAGTGAGGGGAGAATAGGAAAGCAAGTGAAAGCGAGAAAGTTAAAGTGATAACAGGAGCTAGACCTTATTGTTGTGAATTCCTGCCTTCCCTTTTGTTTCAGATACTTAAGAATAGACATTTCTTTGGCTTTTCTGGGCTCAAAGTCTAACTCAGCTGGAGGCCAGAAAAGAATACTATTAATATTCAAGATTACTTAGAGTACAGCAAAGATGGTAAAAGAGAATGGATATAACTTGTGCTCAGTTGGAGTTGTGGTTCCACTGGTTTTTTTGTTTTTTTTTGAGACTGAGTCTCACTCTGCTGCCCAGGCTGGAGTGCAGTGGCATGATTTTGGCTCACTGCAACCTCCGCCTCCTGGGTTCAAGCTCTTCTGCCTCAGCCTCTTGAGTAGCTTGGAGTACAGGCATGGGCAACCATATTCAGCTGATTTTTGCATTTTATTTTAGTAGAGACGGGGTTTCACCGTGTTGGTGAGGCTGGTCTCGAAATCCTGATATTAGGTGATCCACCCACCTCAGCCTCCCAAAGTGCTAAGATTACAGGCTTGAGCCACCATGCCTAGCCTCAGCTGGTATTTGTTTTATTCTTCACAGCTATGGGATAAGAAGGTTTGGTCTTCAGAACTTATTTTCTTCAGTAGTTATCAAACCTGGCTGCAGACTAGAATCATCTGGGGATCTTTCAACAATCCCACTGCCCAGGCTGTATCCAGCCATTTAAATAAGAAACCCTGGAGTGGCACCCAGACATGGGTGTCTTTTTTAACTTCCCAGATAATTCTACTTTGCAGCCAAGTTTAAGAACAGAGACTGTACTTGATTTTTAAGGTGCCCTTGTTTAAGACCAATTCTTATGGTCCATCAGGCAACAAACACCACAACGTAAGTATCTGCAATCGTTTATTTTAAAGACTTTTTACAAGTAGAAGCAACGTGTGTTATAATCTGGGGGTAAGGTAGAGCATACACTGGAATCCGAGGGTGGGGGAAGATCAGTTTTTTCCTTCACAGAAGATAAACCTGTTGTGTGGGCGTCTTGCTTGCCCATAGATCTTTGCCTCCGGTCCAGGAGGGTTTTATTCAGTGCTTGCTTCATTTACTGGAGAAGTTCACTGGGACTAAGTGTCAACTCCTTCCCTCACAGCTTCCAGCTCAGCAGCAAATTATAGAGAACAGATTGACTCCCCAGTTACTACTGTAAATAATGCTTTAACAGCATTCCTTTTGGACAGTATGTCATAGACCCATTTTATTTTTTCTTTTTAGGTGGAGTTTTGCTCTTGTTGCCCAGGCTGGAGTGCAATGGTGCAATCTTGGCTCACTGCAACCTTTGCCTCCTGGGTTCAAGCGATTCTCCTGCCCAGCTGGGATTACAGGCATGCACCACCACGCCTGGCTAATTTTGTATTTTTAGTAAGAGACAGGGTTTCTCCATGTTGGCCAGGCTGGTCTCGAACTCCCAACCTCAAGTGATCTGCCCGCCTTGGCCTCTACAGTGCTGGGATTACAGGCATGAGCCACTGCACCTGGCCAAGACCCAATATTTAATACTCTCAAGTCAGATCTAACTAGAGTTTAGGAAATGTTTGGTATGATAAAACTTTTCCCTTCTGTGCATAATTTTGTTTACACAGAAGAGCATTGGAGAAATTTGTCTCATAGGTGCGATTGACATGAGTGATAGATTAAAACTATTTAAAATTTTAGTGGTTTTGCAGAGCAGCTGGAACACCTGAATTATAAGCAGTTTTTCAAAATTAAAAAATCTCTTAGTTCGAACAGTAGAAGACGTAAATAAGTATTAAGACTTTTGGCAAGTTATGTTTACCGTGGAACAACAAGGAAGAAGGCAGAGAGGGTCCCTTTAACCCTTGAGCTTGTGGTCACTTGTGTGAACTTGTGGTATTAAGGTTGGAAATCATGAGGGAGGAACATAGAACATGAACTGGGATCTTGAAGACAGGCATGTTGATACAAGTAGCCCTAAAGGCTTCATATTAGCAACATTTAAGATGGGAAGGACAGGATCGATTTATTTTGGGACTAAGTTTACACATTATATGTCTCTCACTTAATATAAAACAAAAGCTATGATATTAGAGTTTAGTATAAAAAAAAACAGGAAGAAAGACAAAACAAATGTAAGAATAGTTTTTAATCCATGTTCCCACAAGCAGTGCAGAGTGGGCAGGCAGGCTGCCTTGAGCCCTTTCCAGCCTTGAGTACCTTATCCTAATCCTGGATGTGCTCATACAGGCTGTCAATTTGGGTCCGAAAGTATTTGGAAAGCTCTCCCCGCTTTGCTTTCAATGTTGGTGTCAACAGCCCATTTTCAATGGAAAATGGCTCTGGATGAAGAAAAATGGCCTTGACCTGGAAGATGAACACACACATCCATGCTTATTAGTGATTCAGGCTCCTCTGCAGAGCCCTCTAAGTGCTCTGTAAAAGGAAGTGAGGTGATGCAGTGAGCGGGTAAAGAGAACGGTAACACACACCCATGCCCACAAATATAATTTGAAAAAGAACTGAGTAGGGAGATGGGAGAAGGGAGAGTAAACAGCGAAAAAACAAGACTGTACAACTACAAAAGGTCATTTTGGAGTTAATGGCACAAAATCTAAAATCAACTCCTTAGATATTATACACTTAAACCTCACTAGATGGCAACTTTAAACAAAACTTTCTAATAGGACCAGAGGCCAGTATAACATCAGTGGTAGTACACACCTGTTCAAAGGATTTAAGGCCACTTTCTTTCCCAATTTTCTGCATGTCTTCTAAAACGGCTTTTCTTACAACCTAAGAGTACAAAACATTGTTTAAAGCATGGCCGTTTCAAAAAGAGCCTGAAGGGCTAAGCATGAACCAACTCGAAGTGCTTGTCACAGCCATTCAGTATAAAAGCAGGAATATAAAACAGTACACAAGCATGTTATGTGCCCAATATTTAAAGAAAAACCAGCCAGGCGTGGTGGCTCAAGCCTGTAATCCCAGCACTTTGGGAGGCCGGGGCGGGTGGATCACGAGGTCGAGAGATCGAGACCATCCTGGTCAACATGGTGAAACCCTGTCTCTACTAAACATACAAAAAATTAGCTGGGCATGGTGGCGCGTGCCTGTAATTCCAGCTACTCAGGAGGCTGAGGCAGGAGAATTGCCTGAACCCAGGAGGCGGAGGTTGCGGTGAGCCGAGGTCGCGCCATTGCACTCCAGCCTGGGTAACAAGAACGAAACTCTGTCTCAAAAAAAAAAAGAAAGAAAGAAAAGAAAAGAAAAAAGAAAAACCAAGAGGAAAAGGCAAATCTAAATGTTAAGTTTTCTCTGAATAGCATTTTTACTCTCTTCCTTCCCAATCTTTTACCGCAGTGAATGAACACATTATTTTAAACTGAACAGAGTGTTTTCTTTTTTCTTTCTTATTTCTTTTTGAGACAGAGTCTTCCTCTGTCACCCAGGCTAGAATGCAGTGGTGCGAATCTCAGCTCACTGCCTCCAGGGTCCAAGCAATTCTCTGACTCAGCCTCCAGAGCAGCTGGGATTACAGGTGCGCCACCATGCCCAGCTAATTTTTGTATTTTTAATAAAGATTTCACCATCTTGGCCAGACTAGTCTTGAACTCCTGACCTCATGATCCATCTGCCTCAGCCTCCCAAAGTGCTGGGATTACAGGCATGAGCCACTGCGCCTGGCCGAGAGTTTTATTTTTTAAACTCTGCATCGTATCTTCGAGTTGCATAAAACTATTCAGTCTCTTTGGGCTGGAGTCACTGTGATAGATGCAGGAGCTGGTGAGGCATCCTCTCCTCCATGATGGGCCCATGGGGGTGTATAAAGCTTTCCTAGGCAATACTTACTTGATTTTGGCACAGTTCCTCAAAGGAGCCCTTCACCCCAAGCTTGGCTGCAAATGAGGGAAGTGTATCGGTGTCAGGAACCACCACTCCTACTAAGGATGACTATGGAAAGCAAATAAAGGCACAAGGGCATGAGAGAAGTTGTGTAGGA